GTCTTCAGAGTCTTTCCTGAAGCAAGCAGCGCTCCCAGGGCCACCAAATAGAAGCTCTGCCTCTAAAACTCTGGGCGGTGCCATTTTTGGGCTCTAAAAATCTCCTGGCTTCTCTGTGACACCTGTGTGATCAACTGAACCTATAGTACATATGAAAAGGCCAACCATTTTTTACCTGCCGTATTTTCATTAGAAATTCTGAAACTCACACGCAGTTTTGCAAGAAAGGGTTAAAGGGGAAGATAAAAAGAGGTCGGATTGGGGCAGATTTTTCCACGACTCAGTCATCAAGCAAAGCAGAGTGGCGGTGAAGTTGCCGCCCTATGACTAAAGGCCTCCTGAGCTGAACCTGCGCTCAAGACTAAATGGGACATGGGGGGTGGTGGGTCAGTCACTTTACTCACTAGCACACTTGACCCTCCCAAATTACAGTATCCTGTTTTAAAAGCAGGTTCGGAGTTAAGGAATATACTTTCGGGAGATCACTCTTGAGCATGAAAAATCCCAAAAAGCCAAGAGGCACAACACTGCCCACCCTGAAACCTTTCCAGACCCAGCACCAGGGCAACAGCACGCAAACAGAATCAGACTTGGCGGGGAAGGCTGGGAGACGGGGGTAGTTCCAAGGACACCGCAGGAAATCACCTCAGCTAACGTTGCACTTGCACGTATCAAATGAGTATTTGAAACCCACTTTCATCTCTTCTGTACATTGCCCTTGATGAAAAACAGCTGCAGACTTGGATTATCTACAAGGACAGAAGTGCATTATTTGAAGGTTTGATGATACCAGCACATCTTAATGTAATCAAATCAGAGTTTATAAACGTGTCTAGGCAGAATGGAGGGGAAGCCATCACTCTCACACCTCGGGGCTGCGGAGGTCCCCCTGAGGGAGATCCATTTCTGGCTGTCACCTGAAGCAAAGGTGGGGGTGGTTTGCTGGAGGCCACGGCATCAAAGCAGTAAATTCCGCCAAGACACAACCGCGACCAGACTGCTTTCCCTCCTATCTGCGCCCTGACTTCATCCAAACATTCCATTTAGCTTGGTGGACCTCCTTAAATATTTTATTTCAATCATCCTGGAAACATTAAAAATAAAAAAAAAAAAGGCACAGCGACAGAAGAGCGAGGCTTACTCATGACTGCAGGACAGCAACTCTCCCTGGCTCAGGGGCAGAAGTTTACAACCCCTGACCCCTTCATCACACACCTGCCACATTCCATGTGAACACGTCAAACCCTCAAGCCTGCCTGATTAATCACCCTGCCCAAGAATCTATGGAACAAAGTTCACATTACCGGAGAGCAGCATGAAGGGCCCTCCCGAGGTCAGGATGCAAGACCAAACAAAATTAACATGCCTGCCACATCCATCATCTTGTAATCTGCTTCCAGTTCTGTAATCCCCAAATGTCCAGACTGTACAAACCAAGAACATTCCTCTTCGATGTGGATCAAAACGGTTCACGTACAGAGAACTGTGAATCTTCCCCACCTCCAAGAAAACCATTAACCATTTCTACACATCAAACTGCAGACACATGCTCAAGTCAAGTCTCTGGGGACCTAGAAGTTTTAATGATTCTATCAAAATGTTTCTTCACACATCATAAAAAGAAAATTTAATTTGACCTAAGAGTAAGGAGTACACATCATTAACTTTCCAGTGATGTACTAACTCGTTTAGATCACGTAAAGGATACTACAATCTCCATTGCACTTAAGTGTTTCATAATTAGTTCAAGGGAACTGATCTTCCAAACAAAATGAACTGGTAGGATTAGATGCACTTAAAATTATAAGATATATACTGTATTTTATATTACCATGGGATTACTTTTCATTTTGATTTCCGAACCTACAGTTCTGGGTATCTCAAGGGAGGTCTCTTACACATTTCACCCAGGAGAGATTCAGAGACATTGTGTGAGGGACTTGGGATCACATAGCTCATGCCTGGGCTGGGCTGGGCTGAGAGAAGTCATCACACTACTGTTTTCCTCTCATAACTGATATTATTTTTAACACTTTATGCTATAAACCTCCTAATTCTCTCAAATGCTTTACCACAAAGGCTTCACCACAAGGTTATTTTATACTATAAATTCCTTAATTCTCTCAAAATTTCACTCAAAAAAAACCCTTCACCACAAAGATTTGCATCACAGATCATGTGACTATTACTGGATTTGTTCAATTCAAAGCATACATTTCTAGACTCCTGACAGAATAGGAAGTTGGACAACCAGGATATTTTATGTTCTGGTCATTTACACTCCTCTTGTCTGGGAAGAATAGTTATAAACCAGAGAAACATACATGATTTAGGAGTAAGGATTAAAAAGAATGGGGACAACTTTCTTACCTTTTAGAAATTCAGCAATTAGGCTCAGTTCTGTGGGCTAAGAGTGTACACACTGATTGTTCAAGAGTGACACAAAAATAGACATTAATCTTAGGAACATAAGGAGTGATTCTTAAATTAAAAATAAGGAAAAAGAATTATTGTGGTTTGCAGGCCAGTAGGATTTGAAGTGGCAAGACTGATTCATCAAACAATAATCAAATGAGTACTCTGTGCACAAAAGAATTCTGCATGTAGTGTTCACTTAATCTTTATACTTGTCTTCTAAGGCTTTCTATGTCCGTTACTGGTGATGAAGCTGGGGATCAGTGAAGGGCCTTGTTGAAATCACACAGTTACATGACAAAGCTGAGATCAGAAGAAATACACATCTCAGTGCAACCATCGAAAAATATACCACCAATACTTAGGAATCTGATAAATGTCAGCATTCCCATCCCTCCTTAAAAGTTAATATTTTGAACTCTCTATACCATTCTTGTAACATGAAAATGTGAAACTATTTCAAAGCAAAAAAAATCAACCTGCTGTTTCCCATTGGCTTGAGTAAGAAAACAGGACACCGTTTTCATGAAAGGGCAAGGAGGTGATGAAGACAGGGTGTAGTCGAGCATGGCAAGGCAAAGGGATGTGAGAGGTTTCAGGGGAAGGAGGAGGGGAGAGGACTGTGTGGTAATGATCCAGATGTCAATACAAGTATTGGGTCTTTCTTTCACTGAGTCAACGAATCCCGATTCAGTATGTCCTCCATGCTGGGTACAACATGAAGTGACTAAGGCAAGGAGCCTGCCCTCTGGGACTCAGTTGGGAAGGAGAAAGAGAGATGGCAACCAGCAATACAATAGCATCAGCTCAGAGCCATGCCACAGACTTCTGTGGGGCACTTCCACCCACCCCTGGGAGAGGGAGGGGATGCTTCCTAGGGGATGTGACGTTTATGCTGGGGTCTCAAAGCATGAAGAGCACTTTCCCTGGGGAAGGGCCACCCAGGCAGAGCATATGTCCAAAGGCATGCAGGTCTGGGAGATCAAGGTGTGCCCCAGAAAAGGAAGGTGGTTCTCTGCCTACAGCCTGAGATGCGTGGTGGCGTTGGTAGGGGCAGCAGAGAAACGATGCAGGAGAGGTGGATGGGGACCATGATTCTGGGTCTGCCGAGGGTGGCCTGCATTCCGTACACTATGAGGAGCCAAAAGGATTTTAGGCAGGGGAGTGACACAGTTCATGATCAGATCACTTGGGTGGCTTTGTGGAAGATGGATTGGAGAGAGCCAGACAAGGAGGGCAGCTGTTATGAACTCTACTTGGAAGGACCTCGCAGCCTGAAGGTCCTTGGTGACCCCTAGTCTAGCTTCCCACTGTGTAAGTGACAAACCGAGGTCTGGAAAGGTTAAGAGACTTGCACAAGGTTACCCAGCCCGCAAGTCACAGAGTTGGGACGGGAATGAGGATCTTCTGCGGCTGCTGCAGGATCCCTTCCGCCTGCCTAGACTGCCAAAGAGAATGAGAGCTCTCAAGCCTGGCCTTCCCAGGAGTGGCCACAAGTTTATTCGCTTGAAAAAAACAACAGAAAGGTCAGAGAACAACAGTTGGTAAAAGAGTGAAAAAAATCTTTTTACATTGGGTTTGGATTCCCACTATCATTATGTACCAGAGCAACACAGCTTAGATATTAAGTAAAACAAACTAACCAGACAAGGGAATTAAGGGAAAGTGCACAGCCACTTCCTAAATTGGCCAAAGTAATCAGACCTGGACTGTTCACACATGTGAAATTCAAAGACATGAGCAAAGTCCTTTTTGAGTAGCCTGGATCAATTTTTTTCCTAAGAGCAGAGGATCACTACTTCAGCTGCGTTGTCTAAAAAGAAAGCCAGTTGGCAAGAAAATACTTCATCCATAGAACTACTATTCATGCTGTCAGTCCCCAAAGATGCCCAAAGTAACCTCGCATGATTGCCACTGTCACTGAACTGAGATCTGAAGCCAATGCCCTAACCCTGGAATTTGAGGACAGGGAAGTGCGTTCTCTTTTCCAGAAAACTCAAATCTCAAGGTGAAGCAAAAATGCTCAAGATCCAAAAAACCAAATAGCCCTCCTATAGCCTACTCATAATTTCACTCCAAAGAGGGTGCTCTACACAGAGAACTTATTTTCAGAACAAAAACAGATTATCTGACACCTGCATCTTTCCCAAAGGGCCCTTGAGACTTCCTATCTGCATGTGAAGTGGTGGGGTGTCAGCAGGATCTTGGGGTTGCCGTCCTCCTCAGGACTGAGCCATTTTGAGTTCAAGTGCGTAGCAGGCCAAGGAAGAAAGGTAACTGTGTTATCCAACACCCCATTTCATACTGTACATACCAAGCCATTAAAAGCAACAGAGCACATCGTGTCTTCGACTGGTTACAGATGGGAGAAAAACAGCCACAGTAATAAATTCACGGAGGTGGAGTGTGTCGTCACACACGGAGCCAGGGTGTGTGATCCAGAAGGTGTGTGGGGGGGAGTTAATACCATATGTCGTTTGACTGCCGTGGGCCTGCTCCCATGTCAATAGCAACACGTTCCTCCAAAACAGCTCCGACACCATCCCTGATGCCACGGCGCTCTGCCAAACCGACATGACTCTTACCAGGTACTGAAGTCGCTGGCGTTCAGTCTCGGGGGTAAATTCTGAAGACATGGGGATGATTTCTCCATTTCTGATGATTATGGCCCTGAAAGGGTAAAAAATTGTATTGTCAGTAGCCAACCCCATACGTACCTCAATTCTATGACAACTCCACAGCTTAGTTCAGAGCACACATGAGCGGTGCGTGGGTGGCTCAGTCAGTTAAGCGTCCGACTCTTGATTCAGTTCAGGTTGTAATCTCAGGGTTCTGAGATCAAGCCCTGCATCAGGCTCTGAGCAGAGTCTGCTTGAGATTCTCCCTCTCCCCCCAACTCACATGCACTTGCACTCTCTCTCTCCCTCTCAATAAATAAATAAATAAAAGCTTAAAAAAAAAAAAAAAGAACACACATGGAACGCCCAAGGGACACCTTTTCCTGCATGGCAACATTCACTGCTACCAACTGTGGTCCCTCACCATATTATAGGTATCTTTACTTTAAGAACATTACATTCTGGTTAGCTTACATTTACTTTTTTTGCTAGCTGGAACCATTCCTTAACAGCCAGCACCAACCATCCTTTGGCACATAATAGATGCTCAGTGAATAAATGGATGAATAAGTGAATGATGGAAATTGAGGCTTACTCCAGACTAGTGCTCTTCAATAGAACTTTCTATGATAATGGAAATATGTTAATCTATGTAATCTAATATGGCAGCCACTAGCCACATGTGGGTAATGAGCATCTAAATTATGGTTAGTGCAGCTGAGAAAGTGAATTTTTTATCTTAATTTTAATTCATTTATCTTTAAGCAGTCATGAGTGGCTAGTGTTTAATGTAGTAGACAGTACAGCTCCAGATCCTTGTTACTCCAAGTGTCTGTGGGCCAGGAGCACTGACCTCGCCTGGGATCTTATTAAAAATGCAGATTCTCAGGTTCCACCCCAGACTTACTCTATCAGAATCTTCATTGTAATATGATCCCCAGGTGCTTCATAGGCAAGTTAAAATCTGAGAAGCCTGACTTTGACTCCTGAGTTTCTAGGGTAGTATCCTGGGTCCAGGAAAGGATGTTCTCATCTCATCCTGAAGCTTAGGAAATTCACACACTTCCAAAAATGTATCCAAAACCTACTGCTGACTCAGGGATTTGAGAGAACAGAGCTCCCCAAAGGAGACATCTAAGGGAGAGGCCACAGTATTGATAACCATGGAGCAACGTTTCCTAGGCCTATTCCAGATGGAGCCTCCTGTTCCTAGATCTTCTTGTTCTGAAGTGGTTCCTAGCAGCCACTTTCCAGCTATCAATCGGTGAAGTGGCTTGCAAATTGCATTCTATATGAACCCAACAACTCCCAGGTACCAGGGAGCAGGAGGCCTGGAATCCCACACACTTCTCTGTGAAGAGCCACAAGTACGGGAAGTGCCTTCCACGAGCTCAGCTCTGGATCGATGTGTCGCTGACTCTAGGGTCAGCTGCATTCTTTGTGCCAAGAGGCCCCAGGCACCCCTCCCTCCCCCCACAGAGGTGGTCTCCAACTCAGAAGCAATCCCTGTAAATGGCTGCAGCTGTCCCAACCTCTCCCCAACCCCCCACCACCTGTGCCCAGTTGTTGCTGTCATAGAGACTGGTGGGAAGGCAGGTAAGGGAGGGGATGACACCAAACATCACACAGGGCTTTAGAGAATTAACAGGTCTAAAAGAAAACCAGTGGAAGCTATGAGAAAATGGAAAATTTTAGGGGAGCTGACTGGGAAGAAGATGTAATATTCGTATCATTTCTTTTATCATGATGCCAAAAATAGGACAAATTAAAAGTTCCTTCTTATAAATCCAGAGTCACTTATAAAATGCAACCCCCCCCCAAGAAAGGTGATACCCACCATTCACAAATCAGTGTGTTCACTCAAACGGTCTCTGTCCTAATTAATCAGCTAAGGCTAACTCCCTGCATAAGGGAATGGGAGTTTTGATAGAGGATGGAGAGACTTGGAGAGCTTGAAAGGAAGCTCTAGGTTTAGAGCCTTATTTCAAATAGCATGAAGGGCCCTGAGAACCAGGGGTATAAGGTCAAAAGTCATTAGGCAATAAATTTCAAAGGCAAACTTCTCTTTCAAAACTTTGCTTACAGCTAGTTTTCACTCTTTTTCTTCCCCTTTTCTACATGGTCCCTGAATTGCAGCTTCCAGGCTCCAACTAGGAAAGTTGGCTCTCTGGGAAGGAAGGAAAAGATAATGAGTAGAGAGGAAGGTAGAGAGGACAGAAGACAGTGTCAGAGACCACGGGGGAGGGTGTGTGGGGAGGAGCCGACACTGAGCCATCAGGCCCTGGAAGCTCCTCTTGTAGGGCCTATGTGCGAGGTCAGTGGCCTTGCTTGCTCTTATATTCCAAATGCTTCGCCTGTCACACAGCCCCATAACTCTTTGTTGAACACGAGAACAAATGAGAGAACTCAGGAGACAAAAGTTTTCCCCTTGAATTCGAGGCAGGAAGACAGAGGCAGCAGACGCTCACGTGCATGAGTAAAGTGGGGTTGACTTCAGAGCAAAGAGGGGTCTTCACCTAGAAATGTACCTGTTCCCTCTGCTATCCTGTTCTCTTCTCTTCCTGACCAGGGTGCGTCCGTCCATCACTCCCCACACAGGTCTTCCCTATATTAGTTATTCCCTCTCTGTACCTCTGGCTCTGCCCACAGGCCCACTTCAAACCTACGCTCAAAACACTTTCAGTTGGGGCACCTGGGTGGTTCAGCCGGTTAAGCATTAAGTGTCTGCCTTTGGCTCAGGTCATGGGCCCAGGGTCCCAGGGTCCTGGGATGGAGCCCCTGCTCAGCAGGGAGTCTGCTTCTCCCTCTGCCCCTCACCCCCCACTCGGGCGCTCTCTCTCTCACTCTCTGTCTCTCTCTCAAATAAATAAAATTATTTTTAAAAAACCACACTTTCAGTTTACAATCAAACAAAACAGAACAAAAACCGATACTCTCCTAATCCAAAGCCCACCTTTCAGGGCCTGTTTTCTTTTCTCTCCAATTAAGATGATAATCCACATTTAAGGGCTGTACTTCCCTACCTCCCACTGATCCTTTAAACAGAGGTAAATCCATTCTTGCCCCTCTCTCTATCCAACTCAGAATCACCCAATGGCCTCTTTGTTGCTATAGCCACTCGACATGACCTCATTCCTAATCTGCTTGGCAGCGTTTGACAGTCTCTCCTGATCCTGGCTTCTGGGATACTCCTTCTCCTGGATTCCGTATGTCCCTGGAGGCCTCCTTCTCAGACTCCTCTATGCCTCCTCTGGTGTTATGGGCTACCATTTTGTCTCTCTACTCCTCTTCTTGGGCAATCTCATTTCCTAACTCCCTAACCCCCAAGATTAGGTTTAACAGCCTCTCCCACATGCTCCCTGAGCCTGGTACTTCTAATACAGAGCACATCACATTTTGTTACTGATGACCTAACATGCTGGTCTGTGAGCTCCTAAGGCAAGAACCATGGCTGTCTTACTCAACATTGTAGCCTCGCTACTGTACACAGGGGCAAGCTATGATAAGCAGGACTGGGTACTTAATTTCCAGGGTCCAGTGCAAAATAAAAATGCAGGGCCTCTTGTTTAAAAATTAATGAGAGGGGCGCCTGGGTGGCTCAGTCGTTAAGCGTCTGCCTTCGGCTCAGGTCATGATCCCGGGGTCCTGGGATCGAGTCCCACATCGGGCCCCCGGCTCAGCAGGGAGCCTGCTTCTCCCTCTCCCACTCCCCCTGCTTGTGTTCCCTCTCTCGCTGTGTCTCTCTCTGTCAAATAAATAAAATCTTTAAAAATAAATAAATAAATAAATAAAAATTAATGAGAATTTTAAGATGGTGACAACAGAGCATTAAACCCAATGTGGGGCCCTTCCTAGAGTGAGGCCTGTGTGAACCACAGGTCGCACACCCATGAAGCTGGCCCAGACTGCACACCCTTAACATTTACTGAATGAGTAAATGGCTTCAACACAACCACATATGCCAATGACTCCAAATATCCTTTGCAGCCCTTACATCCCTGCTGTGCTCCAGCCTGGAACAGACAACCACCAACACTTATCTCCACTTGAGTACTCACCATCATCTCATCTCAAACATTCAGCATGTTTCAAACTTAACTGATAGTCCTACCCCATCCCACCCGCAGATCTGTCCTTCCAGCATTCTCCATCTCAGGGAAAAGCACTCCTTCCCACCTAGTCACCTGTCCATCCAAACAGGCACCACATCAGGTAAATTTCACCTCCTTTCCTTGACTCCCACCATTAGTGCCTTGGTTCCAGGCCTGATCAGAGTCTGTCCACATAACTCAGGAGCTCTCTGCTGCTCCCACTTCTGCCCTCCTCTGACCCCATACATGGTCACCACGGTGATTTTAAAGCATGATTCTCACCAAGTCACATCCCCTCCTGAAAGCTCCCTCATGGCTCCCCAGCATTTCCAAAATCCATCATTATCTGCGTTTTGCCTCTGTTTAAGCCTCACTCTTGTTATTCTTACACATCTACCTCACCTTTCCTCTGGACAAGCTATTCCTCTCGAGAGTCCATCAACCCTGGAGAATGCCTTCTTTTGCCTTTCTGCTTTATCTCCAAGGCCCCTTCTCTGTGCTACCATGGTGTTGTACTCCACAGCCCTCACCAATCCTCACCACGACGGCTGCTCCCATGGCTTCTCTAACTACCTGAGCACATTTTCTGGTCAGAGCCTGAGTCCTTGTCTCCGAATCTCTAGCACACAATGCCTGGCCTGTGACAGACACACAGTGACTGCTGATGGATAAATGACTATGTGGATAAAGAGTGAGTGAGCTACACTTGGGTGGATCAACAGATGTATCCAGAGCGAAGGCCCTGAATAACACTTTTCCTAGTAACAGCATTATTGTCTGTAATTGTCTAACTGTATACAGTCTGGACCTTTAAATATCCATATGCCTTTTCACTGGTTTTACAAAAAGACAATGCATGTAAAAGGATGTCATTCTGGCTAGGTCATCACTAAAAAAGTGACTTGAGAGATAAAGGCAAACGAGGCAGAACCCTTGGCCTTAGTAAGCAGGAGAGAGGGAA